AAAAAAAAAAAAGAACAAAATTTGGTGCCGAATGCAATTGTACTATATCAGGGGAAAACATATTATATACATAAAATCAATCTCCTCTGGGGAATTGCATGAACACAAGTATTTCTAACCTTGAAATGAAAGACATTGTCAGCAAGTATAACAGCTGTTGATGAGAAAGCATAGGGAGATAATTCATGGCAGCTCTGCGAACAGCAGCTTCCTTAGCTATTGAAAGCCATTGTGGTGTTCCAAAATTAGCAGCTTCCCCACAATTAAAACCTATATTCAAATTCCAAAGGTAAATGAAAGCATGATATTGAATTGAGGACAAGTAAGTACTCAAAGAAACACCCCCTTGTGGAAGGATCAGGTAGGCCTTGACAGCAAATATCATGACCATTAATTGCTCAATCAATAACTAAAGGGCTTAATAACTTTATATTCAGTATTTTTCTTTGGCAATTTCATAAATTATACTAAGATAATAACCTGAGGTGTCTTTAATAAAAGAGTCATCAGCAGTGTTGTCAAAGAGCCATTTCAAGGCGGCCCTGTGGAGGTTTTGCTATTCCAACAATAGCAGAAACTAGGGAAAAAGGGGAAAACCCATAAGAAATCTTTAGCCCAGCCATTATGAATAATACCCAACTTAAAGAAAGGCCCCAAAAGATTGTTTTCCCTGTAATGTAACACAGAAAAACCCTAGCTTTGCCCTAGTTATAATCAGACAAACATGAAACGGTGAACAGAGAGAATATGGCAGCACACCCTATGGTGATCTGTTACTGCAGTGACCTAACCTCCGATGAACCACTTTTATTTCCCCTCTGTTTTGTCGCCATTACCTCGCCATTACCTCTCTATTTCTTTGTACTCCGGTTTCTTATCATTTAGCTGCCTTTGCTTCATTTTATTTGTGCTCAAATTCATTCTTATTAATAAATGTCCTTGCTTCCCTTCTTTTTTGTTCAGTTGTCATGACTTTCGGTGCTCTGTTTTAAAATCAGTTGTTTACACATTATGTAGCCATTTTCAAGTTTTGAACTTCTTCTAAATTAGGTTATTAGTAATTTACGATTTTCTGATGTATGACCAATATCCAATAATATTTGTAATTGCTGCAGTTTAAGTGTTTGTGTACATATATAAAATATATATACTTATTCAGATCTGCCATGACTTTTGCCACGCAAAAATGATAGCTTGTTGCCTCACCACTACCCGTCACCGGTAACAGACCACCTCAGACTCTAGTCTTCTATTCTCAAGGGCTCAAAGAGAGTTCAATAAACATTATGTATTGAAGATTATCAACACAACACAAATACTTCTGAAATTAAATACGCCAGCAAGAAGACATCAAAACAGAAACTATTTACCATGGCTGAATCCTATGTGGTAAGCTCTTGGAAAAGTCACCACGAATTCACCAGGATTCTGCACCAACCTAAAAAAAGCAACAATTATCATTATAACCGAACACAGTCCAGTAAAATGTACTGGTATATTTATGGTCCTGTACAATAAATTAACAATAAAAACACTTCTTCGAATCAGCAAAAGAGTGAAAAGCAGAAATTGCTCTGGTAATTTAAAAAACCACCCACCTACAACACGGGATGCCTGATGAAACAATGACCTCAGGAGACAACACAGTAGTCTTTTCCCCCAAGAGAGATAGAGCGACTGAAAATCACAATACAATTGTATCTGAGAGGATTAATATTAATATGAAAGTACTAACAGTTAACAAGAGCAAATATACCAAGGAAGTAGAACCTATCAATTAACAGGACCACTTATCAACAGGGTTAATCTCATTTTTCATATAAAGCACGAAGTAGGGACATACCCATCCGGTCAGCATCAACTCCATAGGCATGCACGCGAATGGCCTCCTCAAAATTGACAGCATAATCTCCAGGGACTGAATACCAAGTCTTTGGAGAGCCCATGTGAAGGAAATTCAAGCTGTGAAGCTCATGGTCTTCTACATGCCATGCAAACCAGCTGAACAACATCCCAATATAAACCATCGGAGATGTAACACCAGGAATATCATCAGGCATGAAACGTGTCAAGGAACCTGGAGACCGAGCTATCACCTGTAAATTCCAAGGACTGTTCGAAAGCTTCCAGCCGGCCGTACCTTCCATTTCATCCCCACCTTGAAAATCCTTTCGGCCACAAAAAGGAGGAATTAAATTTGAAGATGCAACTGTATTCAAATTAGGAAAATCCTGGCTGCCCGAAACTTTCTCATCTCTAGTACTATTTACTTCATCTACTCCATCATTCTTGCTATTAGATTTTCCTACAAAATTCCTATCGAATGAATTCCTCTTCCTTCTTTTCCTCCTACGTCTGGCGAAATAACGCAATGAACCTTCTGGCTCACCGAATCCCGAGCCCGGCACATCATTTGCATACTCCACGTATATGGGCTTTTCAGACGCTGCTTTCCAGAACATAGCTTCTATAACTATAGGATTCACATCTTTAACCGTGCCCAACAGACTCCTAGCAAAATTCTTTGACTTAGCCTCAAATTGCTCAATAGTATAAACCTCCCCACTTTGCCAGACTTGCTTTTGCGGTTCAGCAGCACCTTTTACCTTCTTTCCCTTCTCACATCCTAATTCTTGTTGTCTTGTGGTGAAAACAGCCCTATTCTCCCCATTATTCACGGTCCTATCACAGTTATGCCTCACACCACTATCTACGTTAACAAGGCTTACATCAGAACCCAACTCGGGACACTTGGAGAGTGATCTATTCAAATTACGAAGTATATACTTTTTTGAGGGCTTGGGCAATGGCGGGATCACTTTGCATATACCAAAAGCACTCGCCTCTTTCTCAATCTTGGATATGTAAGCAATTGGGTCAGCAAATTCTGTGTCGGTCGGGCGAAACTCAGGCGCCAAAGGCAACTGTTCAAGCCACTTGGGTATCTTCACATTCTTCATTATACCACTCAAATATTCAAAACAGTACCATAGCTTCTGGAGAATGTAGTCAACCTCGTAAGATTTGAACAGCACGAGCACCAACGCACCAACATGTGATTAGGATTCAAATGCACAAAATCCAGTGGAAAAAAATTCATGGGTTTTCTTCACCGAAATAAATTGCATTGATTCTTTGATAAGAATCTTATCAGACTATGAACAAAACTCAGACAGAATGTTATAAGCACAATGAAGATGAAGGCACAAGGAAGAGAAGAAAACCTCTGAATTCAATTGCACAGAAGGACAAGCAGAGAGCGAATGCGTGAGGTTTTGATGTGAGGATTGGGAGGTTATTAGGTTTTTTGGATTTGGGACAAATTCAATGTGGGCGCAAGATAGATTGCGTGCACGTACAGTCCCTAACGTGCGCCGTCGCTACGTACTGTAGTTGCTGAGGTGCAATTGGACAAAATAATGATAAAATAAATTTGTCTTAACAAAGAATTATGGAAAAATTGGAAATCTATATATACTAGTACAACACCCGTGTAATACACGGGTACTTGTTAAAAAAATGTTCTTAAATTTTAAATTATGAGAAAAACTATATTAAATTTAGTTTACTTTTTTACAAAAAAATATATTACTATATATTTTAGAATGATATGTGTTACTTATGACTTACATGTGTTATATTATATTAGTTTTTATAACTTATATCATAACTACTTGAAATATAAATATATTAGTTGATAAATAATATTTTTTCTAATTAATATTAAAAATAATTTTATTATTGTTATAAAGATAAATATAAATTATTATTTTTATACATACAATATGGATGTTAAATCGAAGCTCATCAAAAGAAGAT